CCCTTTATTTCGCTCACTGGGGTAGACTGTTCTAGTTCCACGTGACATGCTTAATTGATGTCAGTTATCAGTTATCTCCTGTTAATTTCCCTCTGAAAGTTCTCCACTGCCTTAACCGGGTATTGAATTCACACTCGTTAGGTCCTGTCACTGGATCTAACCAACGCCTTTATCCACTGTGCCATTAAACATGCCACGTGTAACTAGAACAGTCTACCTCAGTGAGCGAAATAAACGGTTGAGTTCAACATTCCAACCATCCGAAGAAGGCCAGAGCGTACAACGGCCGAAACGTTGTAATAAATATGGCGACAAAGATGATGATAATAGTCCGAATAATGTAAATAGTATACATAATACCTCGTCTCAGAAATATAGACAGATACTGAGCTGTGGCATAGCTCCAACTCATTAATTTTAATTATAACTCAAACTTTTCGTCAACGGAATTCCTCGACCCAGGCCTCATTTCCCTGGGTCGGACATTCCTCAGCTGTTCCTTTGACAGCCTTCTTAGCAAGTTTCGACCTGTGGCACTTGGGGTTCGGTTCTTATCTAAAAAAAATTATATTTCTTTAGCGATCTACACTTTCCACCCTTTTTTAATAAGTGAAATGAATCAATTCTTCTAGCTTCAACTTCGTTCCTCAAAACCTTAAAAATATTATCTCCCTATTGATTCCCTTTCATGCCTGTGGTCATCAGGAGACTTTCCAAAAATCACACATTATGGAGTGGACATAAATCAATGTCTTTACTTTTTTCTTGTTTAGCAAAAGTATCGGTCGACTTTGAATGTTCTTACATCATCTCTCCCCACCCGTCGTGGGCTTAAATTATCCATATGTCCTTTTCGGCTAAATTCCTCAAAATAATAAAGCAGTTTTACTTCAAGTCAGCCCTTGGGGTTTATTCACGGAAGAAAACAAACTCTCTGAATTTAATAAAATTTTACTTCGTTTCTCGGTATAGCTATCGGGCTATCCCTTAACCCTTTCAGCGTCTAATAGTGTCACATCTCTCCACTTCGTTTCTCGGTATAGCTATCGGGCTATACCTTAATCTTTTCAGCGTCTAATAGTTTCACAGCTCTCTACTTCACTTCTCGATATAACTATCGGGGTATACTTTAACCCATTCAGCGTCTAATAGTGTCACACCTCCGCTCATTACTCGCATCAATAAATTGGCCTCCCAATGCTTTGTGATGTTCTCCTCCTCGCATTTTCCTACTGCTGATAAGGACTCACCACAACTTTACATGAGCACCCGACTTTACATGAGTATTTTCAAAACATCACAGCTTTGTGTTGTTTTGAAAATGCTTTGATTTAGCCTTCTGGTCACTTTACAATGACAATTTGGCCTTTTATGAAAGTCAGTTAAATCTTATCCATAAATACAACATCAAAATAAAGTACTCGATACACGTTTACCTGCATATATGCTTCGGATATGCACTATTGTTACCAGAGATTAGATATGGCATTATTTCCATACTTTTCTTTTATGCTAAAACAAGTCTTAAGAGTCACTCAAGGTAGAGGGTTACTTTTAAAATGGTTATGATGAATGAAGTGCAATATGAACAAAGAGTTGGTAGGAAGTGAAAAATGTGGAGATAAAGAAGAGAGATAACATTTGAGTAACTCCGAAGAAGACTATCCTATCAACAGGTGTATAATACCGGGGCTATTGTACTGCCATTTTGTGAATGGATTCTGGATCATGCAGTAGTCTCTAGTCTACCACTCCAGCAAGTACCCGGCTCCTATTATCCTCTTTCCTCAATAGGAGTAGACAGTCAACCGGTTCACACTCCTCCCGAGTTTTTAAACAAAAATAGAGGTTTACCCTTTGTTTTAGGATTGGATTTCCTGTTCCTTGTAAAGTCTACTTCAAATCTATACTTCTAACGTCTCCGGCTAAAAGTTTGAACTTTTATTTACTATTGATTGTTTTCATCAAAAAGGAATAGATAGGTTTGCCCGATCTTTTGAACACGAGCTGTAAGTTGAAATGTTTCGGCAAATGAGCAAAGCATATTAAACAATGTTACCGAGTATTACAAAACAATCAATACGAAAAAATAATTATGTTGAAATAGGTTCATACAAATGATGGAAGCACGAAAGTTCTAAAAATTATATAATCATGCAATAAGTCAGTGATTTATTTTGTAGAATTTATTTTTATTTAAAAACCTTAGATATTGAAGATTCAAAGAGGCAGTCTGGCAAATAGTGTTTAACTTGAAAATGCATACAAAGCTGAAATGTGTCACCTAATTCAAGTATGCAGAAAAATTGCATTCATTGATATACATCGACGCTTGCTAAACGTTTATGAAAATCATGCAGTGGATGTGAGCACAGTTAGATGGTGGGTAATACGTTTCAGTAGTATGGATAAGCCACATTTACAAATTAAGCAGGCTTTTGTTTGTCGCTGGTGTGAACTGATGGCCAGTGGTGGTGACGACGTAGTAAAATAGCGTCTTATAGCTGAAACCTTGTTCTTTTTCTTAACTGTTAGTTCAGCCAATACAAAGCACAAGAGCCACTCAAGGTAGAGGGTTACTGAATTAGATTATTTTAAGGGATAGTGAAGGAGGAAGTAAGAAATGCATATTATGATAACATGTAGGATAGATATCGGTTGATCCTGGACTTAAAGAGACCAAGATTGTAGGTGTTACGGAATCATCCTCTTGGGAGTTTGTTCTACAAAGTAACAGTTCTGTGGAAGACACTGTCCGGGATGAAACTTGTTTTTTTATCAAAGGAACACAAAGGGAATGGGGATAGTGGGTCCTAGCTGTAAAGGTCCGAATTGCGGTCTAAGGAATGTAACTCGTCCAAACATCTTCCAGAGTAGTGAGAAGCTAGCAATGGCTCATCTGTGGGACAACAGTTTCAGGGTGGAGAATAATTTATCACCCACAAGGCTTTTCAAATATGTCACGGTCATACAGTGAGGATTGTGCAGCACCAGCCCATATATTACAGCAATAATCCGTTCTTAGTCTGATCTGACTCTTGTAAAGATACTGAGGTATTTTCTGAAGTGATACAAGGAACCTCCATTCTTCCAGCATCATTTGCGATTTTATGAATATACATGTTCCATTTGAGGTTGGGAACAAGCTTCAGACACAGTAGGTATTCAAGGCAAGGAGCCTTTCTGAAGACATGACCACTCATCATGATTGGTGAAGGTTTAGGGTCTTCTCAGTGATGATAAAATGTTACTTGTTTAGTTTAGGCTGCATTGAATGATACTGGCCAGTTTTCCCCCATTGAGCTGTGAAAGTTAGATCAGAGGAGTGATCAGCTGCCAGGCACTGGTCATCAATATATCTAGAGGTGCATTCATACACTGTGATATCATCTGCATATATATTTACTAAGGAGAGTGTTCTTGAGCAGATCATTAATATAAAGCAGAAAAGGCCTAGGACTGAGGAGAGAGGCTTGATGCTAACAATATTGTGATACAGCCAAGGTCTTCCCTACTTTCTTGTATACAGGACAAACACTAGACAGTGGTTAAATAGATTTGCCAAGATTGGAGATCATTCTGGGTCAAGATACTTGAGATCAACAACAAGGATTTTATCCAGACCAGTAGTCAAGGCTTTTGATAAGTCTGGAAACTACCTGAGTTGATATAGAAATGTCACAAAGCTTGTTCTACGTGAAGTGGGGGAAGTCAGGTAAGGAATGGTGTTTTTTGTCTAACCTAGAGTTAAACTTCATAACAAAGAGCTTCACCTTATCTGTTGAGTAAAAGATAACTTCAGGGTCATTTATAATGGGGGGGGGTAATGACAGTTTGACTCCCTTGAGTATTGGGTTCCTAATTTTCCAGAATTTGCAGGATCCAAGTTTTTTGTTCTCTACATTGGCTTGGACTCCCTACACATAGCTGCTCTTTGCATTTTCCAGAATTCTCCTCCTTGGATTATGTGCCATTCTGAATGAGGCAAGGTTTCTGCTACATCATTCCTTATGATAAACACAATAGTAGTAATTACAGTGGGCCATGATCATAGCACATTCCTGAACTAGGGCTGACTGGCTGTTTGGCTTTTGCTATTTTTTGTGAGGTCTAAAGCTTTCAATGCTCAAGAGAGCCTTTTTGGAAATGAAGGAGTATATCCTGGAAGGTTTACTTTTGAAGAGAACTGACTGAGGTGCTTCTGCATTATAGGATCAGAAGCTGTCCCTGTCAGCTTTATTATATTGATAGCTTATCCTATGAAAAGATACATCCTCTGCTTTGCATCAACCATGACAAAATAAAGGAATTGTCTGTGGTATCCAAAGGAGACAACACCTCTGCAGAATAGTTTAGCATGAAGCTCAGATGCATTGGGAACATGAGTAGGCTTACCTACAATCAGGGTCAGCTTGTAAGCTATGGCGAAATCATAACAGTATTTCCCCTCTTTGTCAGTTCTGTTTGAGTGAACTAAACACTCCTTGTGAGAAATCGCTACTAACATGAATTTCCTTTCCTTTTGAGAACAGTTGAAAAAGAGTGGAAAAAATATCTTTTTGAAAGGTGAGTCTTCATAACTGATTTTAGAGCCTATAAAGAATCTTTCCCTTGAAGAAACAGCAATTAGGATATAACTCTGTCCAATATTCTTGCTTTTACCATGAAGAACAACAATCTGGAAGAAAAACAACTACCAATCATAGACAGTTTCTTATTTTTAGCCTATTACTTGACTTGTGTCAGCAACAAAAGAACAAAAAAAAAACAGATGGATGTTGCTTTTTATCTAAATAAATATTTTTTATATATTTTATTTTTGAGGTGAAGGCAAAAGAAATGATAATTTCATGTCTCAATCTTCTTTTGTGTTTACATAAGATTTTCTTATTATAAGTGTGTGTTCTTCATTAAAATTTGAACCCTAAATAGATTGATATGTATTAATTTCAGAGATAAATCTCATCAAATTTGATGGTTGCAAATGTTTTTCCTACAAGTCAACTTCTTTGATCCTCTTCATTATCTGTAAAGAAATAAAAGGAAAAATCAAATCAATGCTTGTATGCTGCCATATTGCAAAACACCCTTATTCTTATAGGATTATATTTGGTATATATTACTAACACATGAGAAGTCAGTATATATATATATATATATATATATATATATATATATATATATATATATATATATATATATACACACTATTCACAATGTTCGGAATGTTGTCCTCATCTTTATTCTCATATTCAAGACATTTCAGCTGTTGTATGCTCCAGCCTTCTCCAGGTGATATATGTTGGAATTTCAAACCCAATACTTTACTTAGTCAACAGAGGTAGATTGTTCTACTTTCATGCACCAAGTATTTTCTGGATATGAGTTACTAAAGGGAATTAACAAAAACTGAGATATGCAGAAAAGGCATGGTACATGGAACTAGAACAATCTACACATATGGACTAAATACAGGTCATAGCTTACAATGGCCAAGACATCATGGATATGACAAGTGTATATATATATATATACACATATATATATATATATATATATATACATATATATATATATATACATATATATATATATATACACATACATATATATATATACACACATATATATATATATATATATACACATACATACATATATATATATATACACACATACATACATATATATATATACACACATACATACATATATATATACACACATACATACATATATATATATACACACATACATACATATATATATATACACACATACATATATATATATATATATACATATATATATATATATATATATATATATATATATATATATATATATATATATATATATATAGTGGTAAATATACACATACATATGCAAAATATATAAAATATATATACATAGGTGCATACACATACATGTATATTTTTTTGAATAAAAAATTCAAGAGGATAGAATCCAGGTAGAACTCAATGTCCAGGACAGAGTAAGGATATAATAAAAGGCTTAAACACTAATATTCCATGGTCATAATTTATTCAGATCCTATTCATCAGACCTTCATTTGTAGGTCTGATGAATTGGATCATATTTACGATTCCAATGGAATAAATTATGACCACGGAATATTAGTGTTTAAGCTTTTTTATATATATATATATATATATATATATATATATATATATATACACACACTTTCCTGTGTAACCAATAATGTCACTCCATGAAATGATCCTCTTCAACAGCCACCAATAATGTTGCCCTATGCCCCACATTAGTCTTCAAGTTCCTTCTAACTGCCATGGTTAACATCTAGCTGACCCCTCACTCATTAATGCATGAATCATTTGTCACTGGTATCTTGATGGCAGGCACAGTTCCACTCAACTTAGCTCACATTCACTCCTATCCTACATTGTGCTTTTTCATCTCAGAGGGTAAGAAGATTGCTGATGAAGCAAACTGAAGTGAAGGAGGTTTGACAGCTGGGTGCAACACACAAAAAAAAAAGAATCCTTTCGAATAGAAAATTGGGTTAAAAATGTAACAACAGTTTCCATATGATTTGTTGTATGCAGTCGTTTTAGCCTTCTCACTACTGTAATCAAATGACACTGGGACCCCCACCCAATGAGTCTGCAGCTTGTATTAGTAGTAACTTAAATTTCTAAGGCCTGGTCTTCAGGACCAACACAAAAATTTGGTGAGGAGGTCATGGATTCCAGTAGCAGTAATGTATGGACTCTCTATATGTTGTCCAAACCCCTGGTTCATATGGATATGTGACTGGCAGTGGTGGGGTTGACCAGGGTCTGTGTTAAGTTGCCTTCCACCTTTAGCATCCATCTTTTTCTAAAATTCCATATTCTCAAAATATATTTACTCAAGTGGTTTTCCAAATTTGTGTTTGTTCAGCCCCATTTTTGAGAGTGGTCAGAGGAATCAATTTGCCCCATAACTCCAACTTATCCTGCACCATCACTCTGTATAGACAGTACTAATCTCTCTCTTCTTCCTCCCACTTTCTCAGCATCTAACCTCAGCCTGCTCTTAAGGCTGGGACACTGTATTTGTGATAAATCCAATTTCCAGATGGTGTAGGTGAAAACAAAAGGGATTTTCAGTCATTAATCTTTATCAGCTTGTCCCATGCTGTGATTTCTCAATCAACCAGACCACTCAAGAATTGGGGAAGAAAACAAAAGAAAATTATTCCCAATCTCCTTAAAAACAAAAATTTATCTTTCCTCTTTCTATGCATTTTTTTACAACCAGCAAGGCCACACAGCCTTTTCTTTCATGTTCACTCCAAAATAGTAATTAATTTTTCTTTATCACTTATATCTAAGGGAATCCAAATTAATGTTTCAACATAAAATTTTTCTGAATGTCACAGAAATTATAATGAATGAACACATCAACTGGCCTCTATTTTTGTGGGAACACTTCTCTTCTGGCTAGTTGATTCAAACCAAATGTTTCTTTTTCCTGGCCTTTTCATTCAGAATAATCTTTAAATGTTATTTTAGTGACCACCTGGATCTCTATATCAACAGCATATGTTTTTTCTATTTGACATCTTCCCAGATAGATTAGGGGTCTCTTTCTCATCAGTGGGAAGTGGGGAAGGATGGGTAGTCTTGGTTTTGCTCAATCTTACTAGTTAAATATGGGCTTGATTCTTCTTGGAATTATTTTAAAACATGATTTTTCAACACATTTTGTTTTAATTTTCTTCTCAACTTTTCAATCCATCTTCCTGCAAATTTCAACAATTATCATTCAGTTAGTAGACTCTTTCCTCTTCCTTCTTTCTTTCTTTCTTTCCCTTTTTTTTTTTTTGTTTGATCAATCTCCAGAAATACCAGGGTCACACCTGAGTTAAATCAAGTAAATAAGGACAGATGCTTTGCTGTAGAATAAAGGTTACCAAGAAGGCTATTACTACATTACTTTATCATATTTTCCCATATATTTAGAAAGAATTAGTCCATCCATTACACCTTTCAAAATATGATAAATAGCTAAAATTTATGGTGAGTTAAATTTTTGTCAAGAAAATGCTTAATAAAGAACTAGAGTAACATTATTTTTTATATTATGTGAAATATAATATATAAGACTATATTACTGATAGTAATTCAATAGATTTATCTAACCATGATGAGTGGTACACCTGCAAAGCTTTCAAGTCAGTTGAAAGATAAATTATTTACATCTTTATTAATTTAATGACTATATATATATATATATATATATATATATAGGAGAGTTTTCAGCCTTGTGCCACATCTAAGTTATGCTTAGAAAATCACTATATATATATATATATATATATATATATATATATATATATATGTGTGTGTGTGTGTGTGTGTGTGTGTGTGTGTGTTTTTGTGAATGTGTACAGTTCCCTTTCAAGGAATTGAACTCCAACACCCATCTAGGCACCAACCAGGCTAGACTTTGCTTATCCTACAGGAGCCGGTGTATCAAGGTGGTGTGGTCGTAAACATAATCCAGCTTTCTTCTAATGATCTTGCTTGTAATTAAATCAATAACTACTCTTTAATTTAATCCTGGTTACGAGAAACAATCATGTCTTTACTAAATGACTTCCTATTTACAACATTCAAGTAAGCAGCATTATGAAACAACTGTACTTAAATATATAATAGATTTTCTTTGTTGGGTCACTGACAATAAATAGTAAATAAATTTTGTGCTTACCATAATACAATGGTTAGCAAACATGTTTCACATACCAAGTCACTTGTGCAGTGAGTTCAAGTGCCCCTGGAACTATAGCCTTGTGCCAGATTAAACTAAGCTTACAAAATACTTCTGAAAAGATTAAATGTACAATCCGCTTATGTCATTTTTTTTTAAAGGTTAATCAATACGGATTATCCAAGGGAGATTAACACTGAGCATTTCATATCTTTCAATGTCAGATTAAATTTAACTCAAAACAATTACACTTTCTCAGTTGAGATTTAATCAAAGCTGGGTATATATAAAATATAAATATAATTTTTGTTAGTTTTTTATAATTGTGCTTGTTAGTTACTTAGTCTATCCATTACACAATTCACTACTGATCTGTATTCATCGTATCACTGGTGACAATTTTCAAAGAAACACCCTCACCCACTTCATCCCACTCTTGCTGTCAAGAAATGCTAGCGATTTTCAAAGAGACATAACAGTCCATGAAATTTTGAAAAATTAAATTAACCTCAGAAAATTTTTTTAGGTTAGCATCTAAATGACAGTATCATTAAAAGGTCACATGTTCTAAGGATTGTCTTCCACTTACTATTTAGAAACTAAATCTAAAAAAAAATAATTTTTACTTTAACTTATCAGAGTTGTTTTGAAACCTTGAATTTCATTACTGGAAAAACTCACTCAACTTTTTGGGACAAGAATTCATTCATTTCATTTCTGCGTTTCATTGCGTCTCAACAGACTTTGAAAATCATCCCTTCAAATTCCTGAAATAAGTTTTACTTTTTTGAATTCCTGTTTAACTAAGAATTTTTATTTTATGTATTTATTTTACTTTAGTAGAAAAAATAATTTTTACTTTAACTTATCTTTCTAATTAAATTTCTGTTTGAAATTCTTATTTTTTTAATTTGCATGTCATTTTACAATTTCCTTTCAAATTAGTTTTATATTTAACACCTATTTCATAAAGATTCTTTTAGTTTTTAATTTACTTTTTTTTTATTAATTTTTTTTGTTAGAGTTGTTTTGAAACCTTAAATTTAATTTTTAAATCTAATGTTAAATTCAATTATTTTTAGACTTTATTTCATTCACATTTGAAATTAGTTTTCTCATTTTAGTTATTGTCAATGGTTTTCAACACTGTGTGCTCACAATTTTACAAACATCCCAAAAAAATCAATTCAAATCACTATAAGTTCTACTTAAAACACACCAGATTATTATGTTTACTGAAAATAGTAAAGTTAATCCTTTAGCTTTCAATTAAAGATGAAATGAAAG